AATAATAATAATAATAGTAATAATAATAATAATGATAATAGAGTATTTAAAAGAGTATTTATATAGTGCATCCTGAGAGCCTCGATGCGCTTTATATCTATTATGTCTTTAAATATGTACTATTATAATGATATCCATATAAAAATTAAGTATATAAATGAAAGATATCATCGATGAAGCTATGCCCCTCCCAAGTCCATTAGAACTTGGCCCGCAACTCTACTCATTGTGATTTTTTTGTTCGTGATCCAGTAGATCGTCTAATTTGCGCAAATAGCTTGGCGTTCCCCGCCTTGCCGAATATTCACCAATATATACTGCTACACAAGTCCTATTATTTTAGAAAAAAAATCCGGCGGTAACTTAGCAACGGAAAGGAATTAAAGTTCGAGTTAAGAAATTACATTGTTCTTATCTTGTAGGATAAAATCCCCAAGCCCATTAAATGATAAGCAGAACAGATAAACGGCAGAGATTTTCTTCTTTATTACACGAGTAGACTTATTTAATATACCTTTAACAGATGTAAATAACAAATAACATGGAATTAAGTTCAATACTTATTTGAAGTGATATAATCATGTGTAATAGTCCATATGGTCTCAGTTCAGAAGAACTTCAGTCATTTCTAAAGTCACTTCCGATCCCCCTCCCCCCTCCTCTATTTTGCGATTTCTATTTTTTATTTTATTTTTTACGATATGTTTCAAAATATCTTTGGGGTATTTTTCAAGAGAGCTCTCTTTTTCCTAACACGTCTTTGAATTCCAAACAAAATCAAATTCTAAGTACTATACTTTTCTGTTTGGACTGCGCGACAAGTGGGTATATGGGGTATGATATCATAATATTCTTTAAATATTGGCATTTCATAATTTTTTCAAGTTTGTTTTCTTTCCGATCGCACGTTTCGCTTCTAAATCAGTCAGATCATGTCACTTAAATCAAATAGCAAATAACGAAGGCTTGACGTTTATTTCATTTTACGATTTAGACGGCTATTCTTAAACATTCTTATTGATTTTTTTCCAAGTAAGTATACTTCCATTTGTTTATTTTCGCCTAGTTTCCGCTCTTAATTTTGTCATGCCATGAACTTAAGGAAAATTTCATGTTTATTCTACCACAAAAGATATGAATCTAGATGCTTTTGCCGGTGCTTCTTTGTTTACAAACGAAAAATCTAAAACAAAAAATGTCAAAAGTGTAAGGGACATTTCAGTCATATTGTAACTGAACAGGGAGATTTAAATGTAATGTTTCGCTGTCAATTTAGGGGATTAGAAGTTTGTATTCTTTTYCCCCCCTAAAATTAATACCAGTGATGAGTTTGATAAGTATTTCTAATTCGTCATGGAGACAAAAAGTTTCGACTTTATTCAAGATTATTTAAAATARATTAAAGACAAACTACCAACGATTTCTACTTTAATTTACATCCGGGATACTCGATTCAGTTCACGACGAATTTTTATTGGCTCTCGTATCTCAAGTTATTCGATATCTTCGCACAGAACAAAATAAAAAAATCCCTTAAAACCAAGCCTTGAACATCGAGTAATGTCTGGAGTAAGCACGCAAGCGACTGAGAGAAGGCAAGCATCTCGGATACCAAGTGCTTCAAAATCGGTAATGTTATGATATTATAATATCGTCTTGAACGAAGGACATTGCTTTTAAAGGCTTAAAACCTAGCGCTACTAAGCTGTTGAACACGTTCTAAAGTATTCAATTTCAAGTACCTTCTTTTTGCCAAACAAGGGGATTTTGAAGAAAATCGTATCACATACCGCTAAATGCAGCGAAAAGCGGAAAAGAAACCTGATACTTTGGAAAAAAGTGGAAAAAAACAAATTTTTTTCAACCCAAAAAAAAGTCCTTTTTGTGTAATATTTTCATATATTTTCAATACCTCAAACTTTTCATTTCTATGCGTTCTTTTTTTGTTTATATAAAGGATCCATGTCGGGCTAATTCCAATGAGTATGTCGACTTATCTCATTCAGCTTTTGGACCTGCCACAGTCACTCACAGTAGAGCGATGCAAACAAAACACACCATTGAATAGAAAACATATCGTTAAATTCCTTCATCGACGGATAAACGATAAACGAAGATATTTATAATAAAATACAGATTGTGAAGGATTTTCTAATGCTGGGGAATGGCGGGAGATGTGAGATGAATAAGAAAACGAGAATAGCAGCAGTAGAAATGATGGAATATTGACATCGTCAGAGCAAACTTGAAATTTCCTGTTAAATACCCTTGATGTGTGGACTTAGGAAATAATCGATTCATTTTCAGTATTTCTTATCTACTATAGTCAAACATTAGGAAGTCTCGGACCTCAGCAATTGATTTTTAAACGAGCGCATTTTACTTGGCTATAAAAGTTACCAATGTACTGTATTTTCTTGATAAAATGCCCCCAGCGACGGTTAAATCGTAAATACAGTGCTAGCATGGCAGAAAGGTAAGACTAGATGAATCGAATACGGCGTCATATTTTCTTCTTCTTCTTATGTCAGCCAAACTGAATAAGTATTCGGTATGTTCTGGTAAAGCCTTAAGCCTATTTCATGACTACAGATTAAAATGATCTAATGGGAACAGCTAGAGGTTTTCTACAGTCTGTAGCTTTAAGTGCTGTTAAACCACCTCTGCTAAATTAAGCACCGGAAAAATGTATTCAAGATATCATTGCTGCGTTATAAGTCGCACAACAGGCGGTTTTAACAATGTCAATCTGCAGACACAAGAGATAATCATTCCGACCCGAAAGACGACATGAATTGGCCTTCTTCATCATATCGTTTGCGTCAAAATATTTTTAAAAAGGTTGTTGACGTTGATGGGAAAATCATGTCACGTCATTTGTTTATAAATTAATGTTAACCGATTAATATTGATTAAATTATGGATGGAGAATTAGGAAGTTTAAGGAATAGAATGTGTGGATGATTTTCTTTACCGGACATTGGCGGCGGAACCGTGGGGTCCACGAAATATTGGTTCTCAGTCATAGTTTTACAGCGCATGCTTCTGCAATAAAACAAAACAGCGGTCATTATCACATAGCGTTGAATATAATATTTCAGTGCCCCCCCCCCCCCCAACCAAAAAAATTTTTTTCAGCTTCCGCCGCCCCTGCCGGAAGTTAAAGTCAGACTAAATAGTTATATTGTGATTTTGACTGAAAATCGATACATTTTAAATGCATTTTAAAGCATCATGCATGCACGCTTATTGTGGCTTGCGAGTTGATTGCCTCAGTTTATCTTACCAGCTAAATATTAAAATTCATTGAAAAAAATAAAATTGTATCGATACCCTAAATTAACTACTTGGTCGATCGAAATCAGGGCTTGGCTAACCCACAGGTCAAATTGGAATTGAGCTTGTTAGGTCTTGTGGAGGAAGGAAGGAAAACCTCAGTTAGAACCTGAAGAAAAGCCATCGAGTAAAGGCAGAGAACCAGAGGAGGATCCAGAGCTATTATTGAAGATCCTATTATTGTTTTCTTTGGTTTCGACTGGTTTATTTGCATCTTATYATGATTATACTTGTACTACTACAATACAGGGGCTGGAGGGGGGTCCAGATCTCGAATCACAAAATCTCAAGTATTGTCGAAATCCGGCGTCCCGCGAGATGTATATGCGACGACCCAATTTAGCACATTCACTTTTTGTTTCACTTTTTGTTTTACTTATTAATGTCTTCACGTTTTTCCCGAAAATCGGAAAGCAAAATCCCGCATCCCGAACACTGAATTCGGCAATCCCCGAGTCACGGCAGCTGCCAATATCACGACATGACAATCATGACGTCATCATATTCGAAAAAATTCGGATACGAAATGTTCTCGTCCACACTAATACGGCTAGCCGGCGTTTTCAAATTGTTCCACTCTGGAGACCGTATTCGAAAAAAATCATTTTCGGACTAGGTAGATGGTAGGCCTAACCGAATAAATAAAATTTCGGATTCAAATTTATCCGGCATACTGTGGACGGGGACTAAGATTGTTTTCTAGTTTCCGGATCCCGGGCTATATGTTATCGGTTTCCCGGATCCCGCAAATGCCCTTCCACACCCTGATAATAATATAAACACTAAGGTATTGCTTTAGCACTTAATGAAGACATGTTCGACTAATTTGGCAAATAAAAGTAGCCAGTCGTAGGATCTGTAATGAATCTGAAAGTATTCCAAAGCATCCAGTATTTTGATCAGTATCTCCAAATTTCTTGAGGAATTTAGAAAATAGATATAGCTAAAAGATATGACATATACTCTATTTTTACTTACAAGTACAATTGACTTGTTCAAATTCGATTAATTTTAGTGCGGGAGCATTTATGGTTTGTCATTTGAATGGTAGTACAATACTTAACAAATAAAACAGCTTTTTCTGAGCTCCGTTCAATAATCAGTAAAGCACATAGGAAGTGGCGTAAGCACGAAAGAAGTGTATAAGGAGAAGCCGGAACGCGCCGTAGACGAGGTCTTCAAACACTTCTTGATTGCTTACGGCGCTTCCTAAGTGCTTTATTTCTGGATGGACCACAGAAAAAGCTGTTTTATTGAATTGAATTGAATTTATTTACGCAAAAAGAAAGACGGTCGCAGGATCTAGCAGCACTTCRTGCGCGCGGATGGCGTCATCACTGTACTTCGTTCACTAAAATATAATAGCACAGTTTTCGACCAATCAGCGGCAACGTACTATAGTAACTATATAATAAAACACGATAAGCCTAATTGATTCTTACCCAAGAGGTTTTTCAGAATTCATTTACAACAACAAATTTGACAAAATATACAAAATACTAGCTGTAGAATTGCAAAGATTAACAACTAAAATGTCAAATCCTAAAGAAACAATTAATATGAAACGAAAGAAAATGATAGGCAAAATATCAAAAAAAACTCTCCTTTTCTCACTTCTTTACGGCAAAATATCTCGGAAACGGATTCGGTGATCTCCCTTTTTCTTTGTCTTAAGATCGAGATACTACCAAAATCTACAAAAAAGTATATTAAGAAAAATTCTGATTGCAAGGGAATGATTGACCTGTTAACGAATTCGAATTGTACGCATTTTGACATTGTGACTGCTTCACATGGATTTAAAGTTTCACAATTCCTAAGCCGCATTAACTCCTACTCACATGCTTGTAATTCAGAAATGTTAGAGAAAGTCATACATGACGGACATAAATTCATTTTCTGTATTTTTTATTTTTATTYTTTGGCCTTGATGAATACCATATTTCCACAGCGTTAAGTAAAGAAAAAATAAAATAAAAATAAAAAAACGGGGTGTGTTCGTGCCAATTTTCAAAGAAATGATTGCGACTTCATTTGCTCGTGAACGTCCTAATTTCATCACTGCTTGTCGCTTTTTTGTTCTGCCGGAATATTCATCGGAAATAGGATTCACAAAAGACGTTCTGTCTCCGCTAATAATATATTTTCAAGGTTAAGATTTGCATGAATTTGGAAAGATTCGACCAAACACAATCATTACGTCATATAAAGTACGTCACATGCTGTTATTTGTGCGTATGTTTGTTCGTTCACAACCCTTTTAAAACTCTAGTGATTTTGATATAGTTCATTGCTTATTACTTCTGTTGCAAGAACAATTCGAGAATACTGCTAGTAATTAATGTATAAGGAAAAACGATGACGCACAAAGAGAGATAAAATAACTTGAAATAAGGTGAGTCAAGCCTTACAAAACTTACAAATCTCTTTATCAGATCAAGTACCCATAAATAAAGTTCGATAGGAATACGTGTCAGAGATCCCCATTCCAGACAGCCAGGGCTGATTAAATTCCTTATGACTTCCGCACAAAATTTGTCTTATTGAAAAGCGCTTTATCGACCGAAATAATCTCATTAGAATATTTTATATTACTTGAAGACATAATATCGAGACTACAGTGCAATTATTAACAAGTACGATTATTACTGCACGCGAAGATGACAAATAATACAAAATAGCCCCTTCACAGTTCCCTACGCCATTTGAAAAGGTAGTCGTGCCTTTGCATCGAAGCAAGACGAACGGTAAGCTTACAAAGAGATCTTTTTTTTTTTAACACCTTGGACAATTATTCACGTGTATTTATCATTGCATTGCGTTCATCTCGCTTCGATGCAAAGGTCGGGCATGGTCCTCACCTTCCAAGATGACACAGAAAACTCTGCAGGGAACTATTATATTGATTCATGTTGACTGAATATTGCATTTTCATTTGCATTTTCCGGAAATGCCAAAGCTAGACCGATAGAATACTTCGGAACCAATCAGTGCTTTGGAATTCAAATTTCGTGAAGACGTCGTAAATCGAAAACTGAGGCGAGAACATGGAATAGACGACAAAAGCCTTGGCCGTGAATCCTCGTTTCCATGTCAAAAAAAAGCTCTGTCAAGCGCGACATTTTTTCTGGCCTTCTTCTATTRAGCGAATTTGTTTTTTTACCAATAACAGACAATTCATGCTTCTCGCATTTTCAAGGATAGTCTATAGTGGCTGCAGGTGGAAACATATAAGGATAGATAAGTATCGCTAGACAAGAGATTTCCCCGATCGGTTCAAAATCGCATCCTAGACTGAAGAATAGAATTTTTTCGTAAGCCAACATGCTTGTAATTCTTGGAAAACCAGGGTCTCTTGTGGACTGTGTTTTTAGTGCCGGTCAGGTTTCTATTCTCTTCATTTACCCGAGCCGCGACAAACTAACAATCGAACAAAGATGTTAAACAAGATTCTGGTTATCTGTTGTTAACGGAAAACTGTGCTTGCAAAAAACTGCAAAACAACGGGATTTTTTTTTTTTTTTTTTTTTTTTTTTGCGCAAAAGATGTTACATTTTCCCACCAAAACCTTTATTAGATCCCAGTGTTTTATAAACCTAGTGAAATTTGGGGGTCTGGTACCAAGCATCAAAAATTAGAGGCAACGAAGGCCAGATGCTTTGATGCGCGGGTTCGATAGAAAAAAGGATATACGGTGGATGTACCACTGTTTATGAATTATTTACACTTTAAACACTCATGCAAAAATGACTTACCTTTCCTAAAAATACTTCAATACGATCAAATTATTTTTAATATTAGTAGTCTTGTCCACCAATTACTAGGTGCCTATTTCACTTGTAATAGACCCCGATTTTCCTCATTTTACTATAGACCTGTGGTCGCCAATTTTAAAGGGGAAAAATAGTAATAGTTTTATATTCCCATGATAAACTTACTGGTTTACACATATACTTAGTTTTTGTCGAGTTATGTTATAGCGATGAATTCTTTTTATTTATTTAGCGCCTTTTCAGTCTTTAACGATTATTTCTCAAACGGGCGAAGTACATCAGATCGGGAAATATTTTTCGAGACGCGAGTATTTTCCCGAATTTTATTTACGTCTGCACACATCGATAAACAAGCGTGCGCGTGCGTTAACAGCATAAGACGTAAATTATGACAAATGAGCGCGCCGGAATCATTATATAGGGCTTTCAAGTTGTGACGTATTTCCGGGTCCAATCACAAAAAGATAGCTAAAATCTTGCCACAACGTATTCCCAGGATTTATTCTCTACCTTCAACAATTAGATATATGAACAGAAAATCATGCTATGAAGAAAGGACACAGAAAAATATTTGAAGTAATTATTGATTGGGACCTGGAAGTCGTTTTTCGTTCGAATTCTTTTCATTTGTATAGGAAATCGCACGATCTCGAGTACAATTTGGAAATTAATAGACACAAGTAATGTTTTGAAAGTTCTTGTAATTGCACGAGCCTTTAGGCGAGTACAATTAAAGAACTTTCAAAACATTACGAGTGTCTATTAATTCCAAATTGTACGAGAAGATCGTGTGATTTTTTGTTTATAGTTCACTCAACAAAATTTCAGTAAAAAATGCGAAGCGACGCCGTTCATCGTTGTCTATTTGGCGGCCGATTTYCAGTCCATCGYGCAACTGAAATGCATAAAAAAGATTAGTTCTTACGGCTTTAAAATTTTATTTATGCTTTTTAAGTACAAAATGATAGAAAATAATTGTTTTGACATTGTTTTGGCCGTGTTGCCATAGCGACTTAATTCGGTACTCCTACGGAGTACAATTAACGCTATAATTGTACTCCTCTCGACCAATCAGAGTCGAGTAATTTTGTTGAGTGTACTATAAGTGTAAAAATACTAAATATGTATATAATCAAAGGCGATCTACATTATAAGAACTTTGCATTGGTAGTTGAAAGCCTACTTAAGGCTAGTGGTTAAGTGTAGTAAAAGGAGATTAAACTAAGCCGGTCATTGAGACTGGTGTACTCATTATCAAGTACCTGATATTTTCGATATTGAAATACTTTGAAGTACGTAAGATATATTGCCAACTTCTGGGAATTACCGCTGGTTTACAGGTACGGGTGACCCTAGTGTTAGGGCACACATATATTTATTTGATCAAAAACAAGAGATGTAGATAAATCATGCAAAACATTTAATACGTTTGCTGTAAAACGTGACCGGAAAGACGTAGAGTTAAAGTTAATCTCATGGACACCAAATATTAAAGGTTTATTTTTTTGCTTGCCAACGTCTTTAATAGTACAATTACACTTATCATCCTTCAGGGTATCCGCCATTTTGCCATCAAGATTACTGTAATCACTGTCGTCAACTCCTGTGTCTTTGCCTGCGGACATCAGGCTTGAACGTCAAACAATGCAAGATATAACCCTATTTACTTATATAAGATAATCTGATAAACAAATACCAATTCTTATCATRTCGTCATTCTTAACCAGATATCTATTCCTTTATGGACAAATGATCTGAAGAAAAAAAATTAGCCAATCAGAATCGAAAAAATTTGCAAAACTGAAGTGTCACTTTTCATCACCGAACTGGGAAAAAAATACGTTTCTAAGACTCCGTCCATGCCTTATAATACTATGCCGGATAAATTTGAATCCGAATTTTTATTTATTCGGTTCCATTTCGAAAATTCGTTTTCGGTGAAGAATTGTTCCGGGTTCGCCCGGACTAGTGTGGACGGTAGGCCTAACCGAATATATAAAAATTCGGATTCAAATTTATCCGGCATAGTGTGGACGGGGCCTAATAAGAGGTTGATAACAGTGCTACAATAATTTATTATCAATTTTTATTCCAATGGCAATTTTCACAGTGTTCGTGACACCTTAGTTTTACAGTGAAGTCATTTCTATGTCACTATATTTATTTATTTACATTCATATTTTAACAGGAAGCTTCTTCACTTATAAATGTGATTATCAAGAAGGTTACGTCCTGATAAATAAGATATTTTTACAATAATATGCAAAAAGAGAATTTGGAGGTTGAATATCGAAACCAGCTCGTTACTGAAAAGTCAACATCATTATTACTAGTATGTAAAATTGTAAAAGATGAAAAGTTCAAATTATTTAGGTTTACAGGTTTAAAAGAAATTCGATTTAAAATGGTTGATATTAGAACACTGTTTAAGGGTGTCACTCAGATTGTTCCATTCTTTCAATGCTTGAAACTGCAGATGGCTAAAGTCACGTTTTGGGTTGACGATTGAGATACTGAACATTACTCACGTGACCGAATTAATTGACATCCATTCTTATTTATAACTCTTGCTCGTAGCTTTAAATTCAGTTATTTTGTTTCATCGATCGATCAGTAAGCACATGCTTAACTAKCAACAAATACCAACATTCAAATCCGATGAAAATCAGGTGAAACGAGACAAGAAGTGACTCAAGCCTAGTGTCTAGTGGTCGTACTGTAACCAGTGTGTAGTATTGACTAAGTATTATGTCTAGTAGTCGTACTGTAACCAGTGTGTAGTACTGACTAAGTATTATGTCTAGTAGTCGTACTGTAACCAGTGTGTAGCATTGACTAAGTATTCTAGTAGTCGTGCTCTCAAATCTCTCCATAACCCATGCATGTCATCAATTAATTTAACCATATCCCTGCACTTAAATGTATTCTAATTTAATATCATATTTATACCTTACAGACTCACCAGAAAACTACAGTAGCACTGTAGAAACTATTCACCATGAAAACAGAATAGCAACACAAACAGCAGTGTCAGGTCAGTAAAGAAACTATTTTAATAGGTTAAAAGGTCAAGGCCAAAGTTTTTGGCTGTACTATATATAAATATTCATATTGCTGTAAAAAAGTGCTTCATAGCTTAACAAGGCATCATCCACTGTTTTTAATACGCGTTTGGCATTCTAAACCGACTGCATGGATGGCGCTAATGAATAAATTATAATATAATTATGTCATTTCCCATGTGCCATTTCGGTCTCAGCTTCTATGTTCAACGATTCTTCGAATTAGTGTATATACAAGTATCTGTTTACAAGCAAAAGTAGCCAACCTTACGTTCGATATTCTGGTTGAGTGGTCAAGCACAACTCAACCGAGTCAAGGCTCAGGGGAAACAATAATGTAGTCGGTTTTTGTTTGTTTGTTTGTTTGTTTGTTTGTTTGTTTGTTTTTTGTTTGTTTGTTTGTTTGTTTGTTTGTTTGTTTTTTGTTTGTTTGTTTGTTTTCCCGGAGCCTCGACTCGGATTGAGTTGTGCTTGATCACTCACTAGTATTGGAATATCGAAAGTTTACAAATTACGAATGAACTTTGACATGCAAGACTTCAACGGAACGTGACTTGAAGACTTCTCGTTATCGTGAAAAGACGATGGATGACGTCATTTCGTTCGCGTTTGAAAAATAAAAATGATATAAGTGTCTGAAACAGAATCGTAAGCTTTAGCATTAACACAAACAAGGTAATTAGTTCTGAAGGATTTCTAGGTACTCTCGTAGTACACGCAACAAAAAGCATGCCATTTTATCATTCATTCATTCATTCATTCATTCATTCATTCATCCATCCATTCATTCATTCATCCATTCATTCATTCATTCATTCGTTCATTCGTTCGTTCGTTCGTTC